ATCTGCAGAAAGCATTTCCAGTAATGGGCCAACGAGATGAAAGCACTATGAAGAACTTGGGAAATACTGTCACCACAAAATTCATTGCAACCACCAGACAATAAACTTGAAATCGCTAATGGTCAAGGACCTCTAGATTCTGAAACGATCTCCCCCCGGCCGCCCCTCTTTCAAATCTTCAAAATCTAGATCCTTCTTCGTCTTCCCCATGGTTGCGGCTGTGGCTGCCATCTGATATTCCCGGCCAAGATGGTGTTTCAAACCCTTGACCGATATCGATCCCTTTATCTCCTTCAAATGGTAGCAACAATGATTTCCCAATTAGCTTAGTGCCAGATCTCGGACCAGCAATACAAAACCCTCCTGTGCATGTTCAGCTTTAACTAGGCAGATCCCAAATTTTATTTTTTCAAAAAGCCACCTCAATTAGCCCACTAAGGTTCCACATCAGCATATTTAACAGGATTAGTAACATGTCAATGTATTTAACAATGTTAAACCTAAGACCAAGTTCTTTTAAAAAATACAATGACTAACGGTTTAAACGGTTTTTAAACAGAACAAAGTTAAAGAACCAAACCACAGGTTCCAAATTTTAAAGACTAAAACTAAAATGAATAAAAACTACAGAGACTAATCATTGTATTAACCCTAAAAAGAATTACAATTAAATCCAAGTAAAAAGATTTAATTATCCTAAAATCTGTTGATCAATAAAGAGCAGATAATGATAAGTTTCTGTGTTGGAAATAAGATTTTTACTGCTTATTTGTTATCGAGAATTTAGAGTAATTAAAATTTTTTTTCTTGAATCTAATTACAATTCTCCCTTAAAAAAAATAATTGTTAATAAAATAATATATTAATCTTTCAAATAAATTAATAGAGTATCATTAGTTCAACAACGATTGTCACAAGTCGGCCATATATATTTTTTTCCTGACCTGAAGTTGGTCATACATTTATAAAAGAAACATTTGTATTTATTTATTTTTAAGTGGAGGTATATTCTTTCTCAAATAATAATTAATTCTGCTATTCAAAGGCAAAATATTGATCCCAAATCTGATTATATATTCCTAGGACTGAAAGGATAATTATATATCCCTGAATCTAAATTATTATAAATAATTTTATCTAATCTAACGACTTACCTACTCATCAAACGAAACTTTTTTTTTTTGAAAAAAAAATCTTCACCAACATTAACAGAAATTTTAAACGACGTTAGGTAGATTCAAAGTCATGCTCAAGAGAGATAAAGTTTATTCAAAAAGAGAGTAAAAGGATGAAAATGACTGAGAGAATTTTTTATTGTAGCAAACTAAAATATGGATTTGCTGAAGATTTAGATTGAGACGAGACCACACGTGGATGAAGCTCCTTTTTGTTTTATGCATTATGGGAAGATGCTAACATTAAATAAATACTACCTCCTCTTTTTAATATACGAATTTATTTGATTTTAATTTTGATCATAAATATAAAATCTTATTACCTCCGGTCTTAATTATAAGAGCCAATTGACTAATTTGAAAAAATTAAGAAAACAAGTTGAGTTAGTTATTTGTTCTAAATAGGTGTTGTCTTTCCTAAAATATCTTTGCTAATTAAGTGTATTAACTAGAACTCTTATTATTAGAAGGGCTACTTTGAAAAAAAACGTATAAATATAAGAGACAAAGTGGATTGGAGTCTTATATTTAGGACCAAAATAAAAGTTAAACAGGATCTTATATTAAGGATCGGAGGTAGTAATTTATTTTATTTTTATATTTATATATTTTTAAGGTAGTTTTTTTTAAATAATGATAGTTTTAACTAATATATTTGATTAGTAAGAATATTTTTAAAAAGATAAGATCTATTTATTATAAATAACTAACTCAATTTATTTTTTAATTTATTTAAATTAATTAATGGGAGTTAGTATTCATGCCATTGAAAAGTCATCCAATTTCACATCAGCGCTGTTTTCCGTTTACGCTTAATGAGATGTCGCTTTTGGATAATGCGAGAAAGGGTTCTTACGACATCGACACGTAATGAAACGACGGGGAGGATATCAGCCAATAGAGATTTACCAAGTTTCAGGTATTCCAATAAACAAAATGAGAAGGCAAAACTCCTATAAAATTAAACCAAGAATAAAAATATAATTTATGATTGCTTGAAACACCAACTGAAGCACAAGTGTTTATTAAATCAAATATAAAACAAATTTTAACATTCAATTTGAAAAAAATTAACATAAACAAGAATCAAGACAAATTTTTTACCACTCTAAAATTTAACATGTTTGTTTTACAAACTGACTTGTTGGATTTACTTTTATATTGATTCAAAATTAGGAATCAAATTAACTCATGGATTTGAATCTAGTGGGAGTGGCTAGTATCTCAAAACGTGATAAATCAAAATTTAAATCCTTATTAGAAGAGGTATCTGCATTTACTACTCGATAGCATCTCAAATAAAATTGAGTTCTGCTTGGTACAAAAAATTAGGAATCAAATTTCTGAATACCTATACCAAAAAATGCATGAAAATGAAACCTACTTCATATCGCACTTATATTAATGATTCTCTTCTCTTTCATTGTATTATATAATTAAGTAATGATTATAATTAAGGAATTCAAAGCTTATCCGTTTACTCTCTTTCTCACACACCCATCTTACAGTGCATGTCCAACATTAATTATCACAAAATACAAAACATCAAATTAGGAAGCATGTGGTTTTGATGTGTTCGTCATGTGTTGATTCATGCACCCGATTTAATTGGGGTCAATTCTTATAAGAATTGTTTGAAGTGGTCTTGTTCTATATGTTGTTCTTTTCCTTAATGCCAAGATTCTCCGGCTCTGAAACTAATCTGAGACTCTCAAATAATTGCATCTTATGACTCCAAAATTATTTGACACACATCAATCGTGTTAAACTCAACTTTTGACCAAATATAATAAAGGTTTGGTGAACTCCTTTTGCCCTTTTTAATTTGACTACTCCAAGTGCATGTTTGAACATAACGTTTATAGGCCCCCTTCGGATGAATACAATTTTCATCTCGTTTCTAATTATACCCTTTCTGGATTTGAAAGGAATCCTTTCCACATGCATGAATTCGCAATCATACTTGCTTCTGAATTTTGTAATTCGCTTTATATCTTCATTTCTATAAATAATACTCCCTTTGTTTTATTATAAGAGACGAATAATCGAATTACGTTGATTAAAAAAACAGTTAAAATTAGTTAAGAATAATCAATGTATTAAAAGAATAATTTTTTTTCCAAAAATGCCCTCATTAATAAGGAGAGAGGGCATGAGAGAGAACAATTAAATTATTAAAAGAAAGAGAAGTAGGAGGAAGAAAGAGTGTGAGTTGGAGACAATAAACATAGGTAAAATAGAAATCAATACAAAAAAGTAGAGACAACTTTTAAGTGTCTTTTATATATAAGAACATGCCATAAGCATCAAATGTCTTTTATAATAAGTAACGGAGGGAGTAGTAAATGACATTGGGAGAGGGTTCTTAAGAGAGAGCCACTTTAAAGCACCTCATGGATGGAAACAATCACAATTATCGTCGTTATCGTCGTCGTCACCACGCACGAGTGGTACCTGAGTTCGAACCTGTACCAAGCTGGCTAACTCAATGAGTTTAAAACGGGAGGCCACAGGCGAAACGGGCAGGGGCTGCTGCCAAATAAAAAAAATTAATACCATACATACCTAGAATTCAAACAAAAAACCACGTATTGATTCAACGTAACGAATTCTCTGAACAAAGTCAGTAAACCATTCAAGCTTGACAAAAATGAATGTTAAAGAGATCGTCTTGGCTTCTGAGATGGCCCAGAAGTGAGGTACTTTGGAGTACCTCATGATAGGGAATATATGTGCGCGCGTATAACTACTATAGTATGAGTAGACACATTCCCAGAAGCGACGTACGTCCTGGGATTTGAACGCGCGGCCTGGAGATATGCTCAGCCAGGATCACCAAGGCCACCGGGACTGGTAATGAGCGAGCGTCCAAATAAAATTATATAGATAATGGTTCAAGACAAACTAAGTTTGCTACAACCTTTAGTTTAAGCTATAAACCATACCAAACTTCATGTCTGTCCATAGTTTCTGGTCCAATTCGTTTTTCATTCTATGCTTTTACCAATAAAAGTAGGCCCAATGAAAGGAGTTAAATCCTTATCATGTGATGAACTGACGTTTAAAAACAAGAGATGCTTACATTTAATTTTCAGCAATGTCTTAAATAAGAGAATAGTTGTACGTAAAACAAAAAGATTGAAGAAAGTGAGAACAATGGAAGTGGTGCCAAAAAGGAAGGTACTTTACAGTACCTCATGATTCGCATTCATCATCATCATCATCATCATCTGGAATCCTGAAGAAGTAATACCGTGGAGTCGATCCCGTAACCAACTGGAATAACCCAACGTGGTTTACAACCAGAAGGCCACAGGTGAAATCGGCAGCCGCGTCTCCGCATAAAATGCACATAATGAGATGCTCGAACAAACTAACACCCATCATCTATTCGAATGCCAACAACTCTCCGCCGCTCAAACATTTTGATGGTCCTCCTACCTTATTGTTTCACTTTTGATGCTTATTCTTAGGATAGATGCTATATACATTTAATTTCAGTTTAACCAAAACCAACTTATTAGTCACAGCTAACCATACAGGCCACTATTTTATATCATCACCCCAATCGGAGTTTTTATGCATAATTAATATAAAAAATTATTCTTCCCATCTGAGATAAAGTCTACGAACTGGCCCAAAGGGAGGTACTTTGAAGTACCTCATGGCTGAGAATATATAGATACACACACACATACACGCACATATATATGGTACCGGGGTTCGAACCCGCAGCAAGCTGGCAACATTCATTCAATGAGTGATCACCGGAAGGCCATGGGGAACCCAGTACGCAAATCCGTAAATAAATTTATATATATATAGGCATAAAACGGCACCATATTCACCACTTCTCGCTTGAGAAGAAGACGACATACAAAAACGGTCTTTACCAAGAAAGGGGAGGCCAAATATAATACCCTATCTTCTCACATGCTCTTTCTCTTCATTACTTACTATCTAAACTGTTCAGACTAAATTTCAATGATTCAGATTTAATATTTTGAAAACTTAAAACTCAAGAAAAATACATAAGTAAATCTAGAAGGTAGAACTTTGATTCGAACAATCTAGAGAGTGAACTAGAAAAGCAGAGAGAATGGAGCAAGGGTTTTAAAGCCAGGTTTGGCTTTCGTTGGTTTTACAACTGGTTGTAACGACTCTGTAGAGATTAGATTAAAGCTCAGGTTGGTATGGTTTAGGATTGGAGAAAGTTTCAAGACCGCGATATGATGCTTCAAAAGTAAAGGATGTGATCAATTGTTGAACCATTTTGGTCACCACCATTAATCCTATTCCCACTGCAACAGAAGAAATGTGGAAGCTTGACACGGCCACAACTTCTGCAAAAAACAAATAAGTAAAGAATTATTCGCAGCTGAATCAGAAACCACGTTTGGCCAAAAAAATTCCAGAAAACCTCGCACTTTATTTATTGGTCTTCTGGAAACAGAAAACAGATGGATTCATCGTAAGCAGAGCATAAACAGCATTAACATAGTAATTTCTGCAGACCAAACCTCTCACAAATGCTTAAAGCTATGCTCAGGACTTTGTCAAGGCGTGAAATGGAATGAAAGGGTAAGGAAGAGAACCACAAATTGTACGTCATTCTATCGTCCAAGCAAGATTAAGTAATTCAGAAGAAGCATGACACCAAAATGAAACTATTATAGAAACTGTATAAAAGCACATACGCAGCATTCAGGGAATTTGTTACATTTAAGGATTAATGATGAGAATAATGACACATTTCCAAAACCATAAACTATAGTATCCACAGCTCAGATAGCATCATTGGAGTAAAGCCTAAAGCTTTACCTGCATCGGACTATTACGGGAATGGGTTTTAGAGCTTTTGGTCCATTTCTTATTCCTCTTTTATGGCGAGAAACCTACATGATAGACAAGGCCAGAAATTTAAGTCCAAAAAAGAAATTATAGAACATCATAGAGATTAAGAAAATTGCACCAATTTCACATTACATACGATGCTTCTATCATAAATTGGCTACGATTCAAGGTGGTGAAATCAAATGAAACAGAGAGATAGCGAAGTGTGAATGATGAAAAAAAAAAGGTAAATGAAGATAAGTTGAAAAGGTACCTTCTTTTTCGGGACAGCCATGAGCTCCATAGATCCATTAAAGAGAAACTTGGGAAACTAAGCTCAGGCAAAACACATTGAGGTGAAAACCCCATGGTTAATAATTCCAGATAAAGGTGGTGGTTGGGGATTGGAATGCATCCACCTTTTGATTCCTAACATGTTAGCCATTTTGCCTCCTGTGTTTTAGCATGCAAGTCTCATTGCCATTGCTGTTATTACGCAGCCACCAGTATGCCATTGAAACAATAAAGCAAAATGTCAATATTTTCATCAAATCCATAGGAATTAATAGGTACATCAGGTTGACTGGAAACCTGGAATATATAAATTTTCCTATCCGGGGGGGGGGGGGGGAATCAATATTCTATTAGAAAATTTTGCACTTTTTTAGTATAATAAAATGCCTGAAATTGCAGAGCTTATGATTTACAACATAATAATAATATCACTTATGCTTGAACCTCATGAAGAAGGAAAAACTACCAGGTTTTATATGAAATTTAAGCCAGCACCGGAGAAGTTAGACCCAAGATATTCATCTCAATTCACAGTGAATTTCAGACAAGCACAAGGCCGAGGACCCAGACAAAGTATAAAGAACCAACCAAGATTTAGATAAATTTGAATCATCTTCTTAAGTTAGGTGCTTCTGCAGTAAAGTAGACAGTGATACAATAAAATGAATGAATGAGGACATATATCAGCACGCTTCCTATATTTTCATTCACTCTATCCTATCATTCTATCCCTCTCACTTCCGAGAGGCAAGCACTTTACAGGAATCTCCATTTGTCCAGGCATGAACATTTGACAGCAACTTCATGAAATAGAGAATCAGGCCAGAACGAAAGGAAAATCTTACAATGAGGACGAAGGCTTCGACGAATTGCCGTGGTTCGTCTTTGAATAATTGAATCACAGTCAGCTGTCTTCCGCCCTATGGGGGGGGTCTGTCTCGTCTCTTTCCCTCTGAAGTTCGGGAGAAGCGGGTGGGGCGTCGGAGATTGCAATTTCTATGGCGGGTCATCGGATGTGTACTTGTGTAGGGTATTGGACTTCGGGTTCAGTTTTTCTTTTCTTTTTCTTTTTTAAAAAAAAGAATCTGGGCTAAAAAGCCCAAAGAGGCACAGTGGAAAAATTTACCCGCAAGTATAACATCTCACGTCAAGACCTTGATGTAAAATTGCACACGCACACGCATTCTGATTCTTGAACAGACCGTTAAGCCTTCAAATACGTACGAGAATGAGCAAAGCAGTCTAAAATTTCCCGCTTGTTCTCATTTCTGAATGAACAAGACATGTTCCGGGGTTTTTCTCGTGTTTCAATCACAATCTTAAGAATCACCTCAGGGGCTGCAAAGTTTACTCGCCCAGTTCTCTCTTTCACAGCTCACGAAGACTCAGGCTCCTGATTCGAAGCTAGAGTACTTCTTGAACGAGGTTGAGGAGCTCCAATTTTCGAAAGCCAAGAATGGATCATCATGGCATTCAGCATCAGATTCCGAATTTCTCGATAAGGATGTTCCCGAGAAACAAGAATTATCTGCGTTCAGATTTCACATCCTTGGCCTGAATGGGTGGACTTGATGGAGTACTTGATTAAGAGAGGTTACTTTGATGCAGAGGGAAACCCATTTAGAAGTGGTGAATTGAGTTCTAAGGAATCAAACATCATTA